TGGATGGTCAGGTGTGGCTTACAAACCAAGCCCAGTTCAGCCCTCATGAAAAAGGGGGCAGGTTGACTTCTCCCTGCGGCAACTCAATGATGCAACGTTTCCATGGACTTCTCAAACACACCAGGAGCAGGAAGAAGACTTGAAATCAACCTGACGTTATTACAGGTAGCTTTGCATCTTACCACCATTCGTTTACTGACGGGTTGAAAAACAGCCCTCAGCAAAGTGACTCCTGGCCAGTCCTCTCACTTACAACAGTTGCAGAATCCCTATGGCCACGTGAACACAATACAAGCCCTTGGCGATCAGCAAGCGTTCACCACGGTTGGAGCATCCCAGGGTTGTGTGAATCGCCATTTGCGACTTTCCCATCTGGCTTTCAACCAGTAGCCCATGGGGGGGTGGTGGTGGTGGTGGAGGGAATGCTGGATTCACTTAATGACCATGTGATTCACTGAACAAGTGTGATTTGGTTAACAGCTCTGGCAAAAAAAAAAGGTTGCAAAATTGGGTGTGGCTTGCTTAAGAATAAAATGTCTGATCCCCAGTTGTGTTTGTAAGTCAAGGACTAGTATTAGCAGAGTAAAGATATGATGCCAGGGCAGGTTGACCATATCTCTCCACTTAGGCTACTGTCTAGAATATCATTAAATGAGGAATGATGGTTTGGCAGTGCTGAAAGCCAAGGGTTTAACATTGAACCTGGGGAATTCAGGCTGATGGATGGAATTGCATTTATAATCTTATCTTTTTTTTTTCAACCCCAAAGAGCTGAAGGCACCAAATGCAAGTCTCCCTTCATTCCTAGAGTCTTGTTCATGTATATTTCACACTGCGTGAGGCGAAGTACCAGGGAGAGATTTCGCGAAAGGAGATGAGGTTAGAATAGCATTTCTCAGCCTCCGCCATTTTAAGATGTGTGGACTTCAACTCCCAGAATTCCTCATTAACTGGCTATGGGATTCTGGGAACTGAAAGTCCCTCTGTCTTAAAGCATGCTGCCTGTGGGAATTCTGGGAGTCAAAGTCCACACATCTTAAAGTGACAGAGGTTGAGAAACACTGAGGTAGAATGAATTCGGTTGACCCAAGGGTCTTCAAGCTCGACAGCTTTAAGACTTGTGGACTACAACTCCCAGAGTTCCTGAGCTAACATGACTAGAGGAGGAATTTTGGGAGTTGAAGTCCACAAGTCTTAAAGCTGTCAAGTTTGAAGACCTCTGGGTTGACCAATTCGGTGCAGTTTTATAGAATATCCAAGTGCAAACACATCACAGCCAGGTAAGCCTTGTCACACAAGTGAGATGGCCGGCTCCCTCAATGTAAACAAACAAACATAAGTATCCACCTGGATGTATAATCCATCCAATCAGAGTGTAAATATATTCCGAATAGTAGCATTGCTAACCCTGAAATGTTGCATACATTCCTTGGAAGGTTAAATAAAACGTTTCTAAGGCAGGAAAACGGTGAAGACGAAATTGCGACAGATCCAGCATTTGTCAGGAATAAGTGTCTTAAAATTCGACACACAACGGAGTGTTTAAATACAGAAACTATTTCTAAATGCAGGTTACATTAGGGTTGACCATCGAAAAGAAAGCAAGTTTTGAACACCAGGCAATTGCTATTTTAAGAGCCAACAATCGATCACTCGGGAAAGGAGACTAGCAAAGATATAAAACATTGGTCAAGTGATGGACATGGTCTATCATTAATGCTCCACTGCTACCATCAAAAGTTGTCCCTTTTGAAAGAGGGACAAGTCACAGAGGGACTTTGGGCAGTGTACAAAACCCAAAATATTTAGAAGTTGCCTATCTATGAACTGCGCAGAAGATGAAAAAAGCCACTTACTTACCTATTAAGCCTCCGAGATGCCACCTGAACCATGTTAAAGATTTCAGCTGTGCCAGGCCCCTCCCAAGGGCCTCTTCTCCTGCTGCCCAACTTACCTGCCCAAAAGGTCCATCTGCTCTTCTCTCATCTTCCTTCACAACCCCAAGAAGGTTTTCTTCTGGGCCATCCCACTCTTCCCTCTCTGGAGACCTTCGTGCCACGTTGCTGAAGGTGAACACGATGGAAAGGAGAGTCCCAGGTAGGACCTTAGCTTAGACATTCTCCTGGTGCAGGAAAGCCCAAAGAAAGTCCCATCCACCATCTTCTAGTGTTCAGGAGGACAATGTTTGCTCCAAGCCAAGCCTGCTGTTGCTAGAGAACAGATGCGTGGCTTTGCTTACAGTCCTGTCTGGACTTGTCCTGAAAAAGAGGGAGACCCAGAATTTAATCCACTAAGGAATGCTTGGATTGAGATCGGTACTCCATCCAAAATCTGGTGAAGGTGGAGTTCCTTCCTTCTCTTTCCTTCCTTCCTTCCTTCCTTCCTTCCTTCCTTCCTTCCTT